TGACAGGGAGCATTGCCCTGCATGAAAATTGCAGGCTGATTGAGAGATGGTTGCAGGGAAGGAACCGCATGTTGCTGAAGAAGGTTCTGGTAAACATTTGCATTCATCATGCCATATAACTGTATAAGAGGCCCAACTCCTGCTGCGGAAAACATCCCCCAAACCACGACACTTCCTCCTCCACCTTTCACTGACTTCTCCACACAACATGTTCCTCAGCAAAGGTGAGCTTAGCCTTTTGATTATTTCTGCTGAAGAGAGGCTTGCTCACTGCCAATGTTGGGCAAATTACTCTGAAAATTTTATTAAATTACTGATTACTTAATCTTACGTAATCTCCTTTTAAAAGTAATCACGTTACTGTTCTGATTACTTTATTTAAAAAGTAATTAGTAATTAGATACATTACTAGTTACGTTACTTTTTTCTCCATGAAATTCATGAAATCCCAGCATACACGCTACCGATATGTATTTGTTATTAAAGCATCAACATTCACAGAACACTGTTATTTTTAACTAAAGCAAGCGGCAGCTGCATGCATGGTTTGGCATGGCAGAATTACGGTGGACAAGAAGCGCAAAACACATCACAATTCTGAAAACAAAATAACAAATTACACACGCAAATGCAAGTCTAAAAAACCAAATAACAATTCAGAAAACACAACAACAATTCAGAAAACATTATAACAAGTCAGAAAACACAATGACAAATTCGAAAACAAAATAACAAGTCAGAAAACACAACGACAAATCCGAAAACAAATTAACAAGTCAGAAAACACAACGACAAATCCGAAAACAAATGAACAAGTCAGAAAACAACGACAAATCAGACAACCGGAAGAGGTAAGTATAGTTTGAGACAGCGCCATTGGTTTGGGATTACTCACCGCTGACTGGACGAGACATCTGTCAATCAACGTATACAGGGAAGAACCAGCCGAAGAACAGCAGAGTCCTGGTAGAAAGTTCAGAGATGGTATTAAAGTAGCTCAGTTTAAATGTATTAATTGCCCTTGGTAATTATACCAATTGCTGGTAGGTAATTATACCATCTGGCTGCAAAAATATTTTTTCTTATTTCAAATTAATTGCTGGTAGTTAAATTAGCCACTCCTTAGCCACTAAGGAGGCACTGATCTCAGGTGAACACATTAACGGTGTCTAATATGTATTTTTAAATGATCTTGGCTTAGTTCGTTGGCAGATGGCAGTAGATGTATGGCCTGAGTTCATGAGAGCTCTGGGGCCATAGCGGGTTCAGAAGTGACAGAAATTACTTTTGCAGGAACCACTAGAGCTGCTGTGTCAGGGCTATAAACTATGAAATATTTAAATAAGTATGAATTGCCCTTACTACGGAAAAAAAAATACGGAGTGTATATTTACATTTAGTTAAAAGTGGCCATAAATCATCAGCTCCAGTGGTGCAGATGGATAAGCGCTTGTTGTTGGCTTTTTGACGCGATCGACCCGGGTTCGATCCCGTGTTTTGCCGGACTTTTTTTCCCTCCCTTTTCAAATCTCAGTGAGCAGTATTTTTAGCAATATGCTATTTACACTATGTTAAAATAGCAGGATTTCTACTATCATACTACTTGCTTGTTGCAAATAGTGGCAATTATCTGCACTTCAGTATTGTAGTACATTATAAAACAGTATGCAATAGTTAAATTACTCCGTTACTAAAAAAAGTAATCAAATTACAGTAACGCGTTACTGAGTAATGCGTTACTGCCCAACACTGCTCACGGCAGAGTGCGCTTTCAGTCTCACTTCTCTTAAATGTGCCGAGTCAGATCCCCGAGTCAGAACTGAACTGGCAAGCAATTCCAGCTGCAGTGTTGAACCGATTCCCCATGGAGAGTCGCCACGTTATCCTGTCTTCCCATGCATTTGTCTTACATGGATGACCAGCCTTTTTTGGGAACTTGAATGAATTAGTTGCATTGTAAAGCTATGATATTCTATCAATCACAGATTTAGAATGAGGTTTTCTTGCAGTGGCTGAAAGTGTCATCCTTTTAGCCTTCAGTTGGACAACCTGCTGTCGCAGGGTTTCAGTCACCTTAGAGCGGCCCACCATCTTGCAATCTCAGTGAAAATTAGAAGAATGCTGCCAGTTAAATAGGTTTGTCATATAATTATGTCATATAATTCTCTAATTTTGATCAGAGTTCTTTTTCAAATATCTCATGCTTTAGAATACAATTAATTTATGAAATATGCTTAAAAAACTGCCCTTCTACTCATGTTAGGATAACTTCAAATAGGACTAAGCAGTGACCTTGAAATTTAGGATATATATACTGTATATATAGTTAATACTGCTGCAATGGTGCTTCTAAGCTAAATCATATTTGCTGTAGCCTCTCATTTACTGTTATAGAAGTTTACCCATCTATGATGACTTTAGCTTCTGAAAACCCTATAAATGGGAAGAGGGTCCATCAGTCTTTGGTCATGATCCCTGTTATGTTTCTCATATCAAGAGTCACCAGTAAGATTCACACTATTATAAGGTCCTGGGTCAAAAGAAAATAGTTGTAAAACATAAAAAGAACATTTGTACCATTCATTGATTGTTCAGTGAAGATTTATGAGTCAACACACAAGACCCATGAGTCAACACTTCTGCCGTTCTCTAATATCAGGACATCACTGACATTTCACTGTCTCCATCTGCTGGCCAGTCTTCGTAAATTAAAAAGGTTGATTTTAAAAAAGTGACTTTTTATCACTACAGGCAACAGGGGGCAGTGCTGTATTTGAGTATTCATCAGGCAAATGCTTCAGGTGGACAGACGGTAGTCAGGACTTCAGGAGTCATACAGTGAAATATCTTTAACTCACTGAAAACTCTTCAAGATTATATCTGAGGAAAAATAAAATAATAGATAGCAAAATAACCACACAATGGATGCAGTAATTAATGTAGTTTCTGTCTTTTGGTCAACTTGTCTTTTAAATTTGGTCTATATTTCATTATTTTATTTTATTATCTATGATCCAAAAACATTTGACAACCCAAAAGTGTCAAAATACATCTTAGACAAATTGGACCATAAACTGGCTTGGGAGTAGAAAGCAAAAGCTCCGATTTATATGAAAGAAAACACTGAGGATGATGCGGGTCAGGTCACCATGATTTTGCCAAGTAAGACATGTTCCTGGATCAACATCATTTGCTGATCCTGGATCAACAGTACCGTCCAAAAATATAGACTAAACCCAATCCCTACCCCTAAACCTAACCCTACCCATAATTTATTCCTAAAATCAGTGTGAAATGATAGCTGATTAACAAGGGTGTAGAAGCACCTAAACCTGATTGTAAGCCTAAAACAGATATTTCCTGAAAAGTTATCCCTCAATTCTGATTGGTTAATTGGAATGTTGTTCCAGGATCAACAAGGATGTTGATCCAGGAACATGTTGTACTTGGTGAAATCACGGTCACCATGCGGGTCACTGGAAGACACTAGGGCTGATGTGGTTCACGAAAAGACAGTGAGGATGATGATGGTCACAAGAAGACATTGGGACTGGTGAGGATCATCAGAAAGCACTGAGGCTGGTGAGGGTCACTGGAAAACACTTTGTGTTTTATTGTCTCTGTGAATGAAACAAATCAACTGATGTTTGTACTTTGTACTATATATATATATATATATATATATATTTTTTTTTTTTCTCACAAATGATTAAGTGAAAAGGAAAAGGTGACATTGCAGTTTATTATTATCCCAACAATCATATAATTTCTGTCACAATAGTATATTTCCGAACATTCCTTTGCAAATACTGTAACAATCCAGTGAGATGTTTGCATGAGTCCTGCAACAGATGGCATGACCCACACACACCAAGTCACTGAGTCAATCTGGGATTACATGAAGAGACAGAAGCAACTGAGACAGACTAAATGTTTAGAAGCCATTGGACCATTGGATAAATCTCCATGCAAAACTACTGTACTGTAAAAAAAAGGAAAAAAAAATGTTTTATGCATTTGTGAAATGCTATAAAGTAAGGATGTTTTCTTTTAGTTTTTTTTTTTTAAATAATGTCATATATACATTTGATCAATTAACTTATATTACCTAATTCAAATCAATATTTGGTATGGCCACACTTTTTTCTTAGGTACATTTGCAGGCAGTTTTAAAGGTACTTTGCAGGTAAATCAATATTTGCTCAGAATTTTACATTTAAACCATTAATCTCATAACATTATTTATGCAACTGCAGTGTAAATGCAACTGAGCTCCAATAAACATGTGAAGCTTTGGAAATCAATGCTGGTTGGAATTATTATTTTTTTTTCTTCCTGTGGTTCCGACCAAACACTATAGAAAATAGAAAATGCTGAACAGTCAAAACAGGTTGAGTTGGATATTTTTAATATAACAGCGTTTAATTTCTCTTGCATACAGCAGGTGTCGCTGCTGGACCTCTACATTTTACTCTGGACAACAAATGCCCACCATATATGGCGAATTATGTCTTACCAGTTATGTATAAAATTAAATATAATTACTGTCATAATTAGTAGGCTAAGAAATAAACTATATTTGATCAAAATATGCTGTTAAAACATTTTAGCATCTCCTCAAGTAAAAAGGATGTGAAAACAGGTGATGCAATCAATTAATATATATCATACGAATTAGTTTTGTAAATAATAAATGGTAATAGATTTTATGGATTAAGTAATGCAGGTTCTAATTGAATACAAAAAGAGCACCCATATATATATTTTTGCAACATTGAAGGAAACCATGGATTTTGTAGCAGAAAAATATAACATTATCCAGAATCTTAATGACTTATTATTATTATTCTTTATGATTGGTAATAATAACGCCATGCATCAGAAGTACAATGATTGTCTTTTTCCTCAGCTAAAGAGTTGTCATAAGAAATAGCCTACATGTACCAGATGTCCTCAGCGCACTTGCGCACTGGTGTCTTGGTGTCTCCAGTCATCCTAAATCTCAAATAGCCCAAACGGAACGATACCGACATCACATGAAACCATTTGTGAGAGGAGACAAATGCTTATTCAGATGCAGTCATAACCCGAGACCTGGCATACGACACACAGCTCCAGCTTTCGCGTCTGATTCCAGGGATGACATCTGGCCAGTGATGCAGAGGGCAGAATGCATGCGGCATCATTTGTCACAGAGACCCTGCTGAAAGGGACAGCTCGAGATTTTTTGGGCTAAATAAATCCGGCCTGTTATTTTTATTCATTTATTAATATTTAACCGGGACTATGACGTTGTTCGGTGTTCACACTCAACAACAAGAGAGATACGCATGAAATCGCATTGGAATTATAAATAAGAGGAAACAGACGCAACACGTTGTTGGCTGGTCATCAGGGGCTCAAGGTGTCATTAAGTCTTCATTCAGTAAGTACAGAAGTATCATTGCCTTAAATGTGAATCACTTCCTTAAGTAATAAGCGCACATGTCAGCATCTGTCCTGCACGATCCAAAACCAAAGACATACAAGCTACAAAAAACAAAAAAAAAAAACAAAAAAACACCTAATGCAGGTTATTTATTTATTTAGCCTATTTATTTATTTATTTATTTATTTATTATGGGTTAACATTTAAACTTGCGCTTCTGGGGCTTGTACAATTTACAAATCCACATTTACCTGTACATATCACCGTAGCATAATTGACATTTTAACCAATTTCGTGTTTTGTATTTAAATGACTGAGAAGTGATGAGTGTTGATGTGTATGGAGGACGAAACCTGCAAAAACAATAAATAAACAAATGCACAAATAAATAAATAAATATGCAAATAAATAAATAAATGTGTTTATACATACACAAATTCTTGTTTAAATACATATAGCAATAATTAAACGTGATTAAAGTAGGCAAATAAATAAAATAAATTGGTGGGCAAATGGAAAATGTTTAAGGAAATGCTAAACTCATCCTAACTATTTTCCTTTGATCACTCATTTATTTCTGAATGTAGTTCCACATTTATTTTTCCCCTGCATGACATGCTAATGAGAGGGTGTCAACCATGGACTTGGTCGGGTCTTGTGATAGCTGGGGGCGTGGCTTTCCCGCTGACAGGAGATGCATGGTGTAAATCCAGTATAGCCTAGTAAAGTCACTTTTGCCGTTCAACAGAGCAAGATACATTGTTGCGCAGAGGAAAAATAAACGCGGAACTACATTCAGAAATAAATGAGTGATCAAAGGAAACTAAATAGGATGAGTTTAGCATTTCCTTAAACATTTTCCATTTGCCCACCAATTTATTTTATTTATTTGCCTACTTTCATCACGTTTAATTATTTATTTATGTGTTTAAATAAGAATATGTGTATTTATGCACACATTTATTTCTTTATTTGTGCATTTATTTATTTATTGTTTTTGCAGGTTTCATCCTCCATAGATGTTTAGCTCGTGACAAAGTACAGCGGTATCGCTATGCTAAAAATAGGGGTTAATTCAGAATAATTGGGTCTCAGTCTTCTCAGTGTCAAAAAAGTGGCCCAATTTGCCTGGATTTATTAAGCTGACAAAAGATGCCGTTCTTAGTTAAAGGAAAATCAAAACTTTTTGAACATTGTGAAAATTCATGCTTAACAAAGCAACCAGCAACAATCATTTTATGTTGCTTTGTTAAGCATGGATTATTTTTTTTTAAAGATATAATATAACCGGAGCATTCTTTTTGTTTCCTTGTAACTAGAAAATATTTTTAAAAATCCAGTTTTATGTCAGTTTTATGACAATCTGTGTAAGACCTTGTTTCATTTTCATTTATTGCTTGCACATTTTGCTGTATGTGGTTGGATGATTTTTAGTAAATTAGATTGTTATTTTTATTTATTTATTTGAATGTATGTTCAGGACATATAATTTTTTATAACTTCCTTAGCTATCATTTATTCAGAGAAAAATAAACAAATACAATTTTGCGTGAAAAAAAATGCCTTAAGAAAAAATCTTGTTCGTCTTTAACCTGATGTGAAAGCAGCTGATTCAGGAAGTCAAGCACATGTTCTGCCACTGAAACTTAGGGTATGTGTGTCATAAAACACTTCTTTGTCTTGTTTGGCAGTTTAAATGTTCGATAACAAAAACTGACTTTGGAAAATGTCAGCAAATATATGCTAATGATCTCCCTGTTCTTATGTCTGCATGTGAATATTTATTCAATTGCATAATTAAGGCAACTTGTTTTATGTGAGTTCTGCTTATTTGACATTTGACATTGAGACAATGTCTTAAAATTCTGCATAGCTAAAATAGTCTCTTTGTTATTAGTAAACTCGACTAACAGACTTTGCAAAGGCCCAATGTTTAGCGAAAGCCTCTTAATTAAGACCCAATCAATGCTTTCCTTGGGCTTTGAGTTTCAGGAGACTAATAATAATAATAGCTTAGACGTAACTGTACACCCCAGTCTGAAGGGCTGGGTTTTAAGACTTTACACCAGTCTGCTGGCTAATTGAATCTGTAAAAGAAATCAAACAATACGGACATTTTAAAGCAAAGGAGCCTGGAATATTTCAGAGAATTCAATTTCACACTTATTCTTTTATTAATTTTTAAACTTGTCAAAGAAAATGTGATTACCTTTTACCAAGTCTACACTGGATAAGAGCATCACGTTGCTTGGAAAAGTAAACTCATCATAATAAATTAATTTGTCTATACTGGAGTCCCGAAAGAAAAGAGACGCAGACCCATTCTATTTCTGAAGGACTACATCCTTCTACACTGCTACATCTGACAACAGGACAAATAGATTTGAAATGTTCACACTGATGTATCCATACAGCCCTAAGACTTTGCATTGCATTGCTTTGCTTAAACTGATGCGCCCGGTAACTATGTAGATGTGAATGTGTTCTGAGTTGTTTTTGAGAGGTGTTGATAAGTTGCTAAGGTGTTCTGGTTGGTTGCTAGGGCAATGGTAAGCAGTTGCTTACTGGCCCAGGTCAAAATGTTCTGCTTTCACAAGTACCTTGAGACATTTTTCATTTTTACTATATTTTTAATCAGATAAATGTAGCCTTGTTGAGCATAAGAGACTTCTTTCAAAAACATTCAAACATCTTACTGACCATAAATTGTAGAACAGTAGTGTGGGTATGTTGGTTTGTAGTATGAATACCTTCCTGGAATACTGCATCCACCAAATTAGCATTGTCCTTTGACCCAGATGCTCTTTGATATTTGATACTCAAAACAACAGTGAAAGTAATTTTCAACTTTTTGAATTTGATGAAAATCTATAGGATTTTTCCCAGGTGAAAACATTTAGTTGTGATTGTTTTCTAACACTATAAGAAAAGTTTGGCCCAAATGTACTGTGTTCATATGAAGGAATTTTCTCTATTGATTTTACACAGGTATTTTACCTATATTTAATTTTTTTCCATAAATTCCCCATCAAACCACACGATTTGAGGTATCATTCATGCATGTAACACAAACAGTGCTGGATGAGTTATGTGTCAAAATTTGTTTGTTGAGATCTATAAACCTAAAGATGAGCAATAGTAAAGCCCAAAGCATACTTTGGCCGTCCGTGTGGCTTTTCATTATCTCCGTTATAAACCTGTAAAAATGTCCCTAAATTCTAATTAAAATATTCTCAAGGATTGTTAACAAATACATGCTTGACAGATTGGTTACTAAAAATATATAATTTGTACAGATCTTGAACAGTGCTTGAACAGGCCAAGGACGGTGATATTCATCACGACTGGAGCTTTTCAATGGTTTGGTGAGGCCTGTTAACTCAACTATTCCTGAGGGAAGTTCATTCTGCTGTCAAGCAGATGCTCAACAACATTTGTGATCAAATCTGAGATTACAGCCTGTTTGCTTGTGCTGTGAGCATTTTGATTCAATTATATGAGTCAGATGACTGATTCTTTTCATGACTAGGTAGGCCCATTTTATTGCCATGTTGGGTTTTATATTGTGAGGGAATTTCTTACATAACTCATGATAAAGTCTTTATAGTTGTATTTTTTAAAGATTAACACTTTAAGGACCCATTAGTTAGCGATAACTAACAACAAGCAATTAATCTGATACAGTATTTAATCACATTTGTTAATGTTAGTTAATAAAAATGCAACTGTTAATCAGCTAACATTGCATTGTTAGTTCATGTTAGCTCAGGTCCCTTAAATAATAATAACAGACAGATTGTAATAATGTATTACTAAATGTTGAAATTAACATTAACTAAGATTTATAAATGCTTTAGAAGTATTGTTAGTTCATGTTAACATTAGTTATAATGTCGTTTACTAATGTTAACAAATCAAACCTTATTGTAAAGTGTTACCTTTTAAAGATACATTTCTAGTTCAACAAGAGTTCACAGCGTTTGAGACGTGCTGTTTTATTACCACAGTCAATCAAGCAAAGGTCATGTGTACAATAATGGACTAAAATTGGAAGTCTATGGGGAACGTCATTGGACAGGATAGATGTAAAAATACACATTGTTTCAAAAGTACAGCCACAGGACTTTTCTGCAACACTAAATAATTTATGTAAGCACTTTAACAAGCTGCAAATTTCCGTATTAACCATCTGGAATTTCTTGTCCAGTAGACTTTAAATTAAGTGTATTACTGCAAACATGGTTGTTGTTTATTTTTAAAAACTGAGGGCCAAATCCAAATAATTTCTCTGGTAATCGACAGCACATCACAGATGCTGTCCATACTGTATTTTGAAGATGAAGTTTGAAGAACTATTCCTTTAATAATATCCATAAACATGTCTTAGTGCTATGAAACCATCTATTCTCTACCTGTCTGTGTTTATTTGATAGCTTTTCATTTTACTCTTTCCAGTGTTCATTCACAGCTTGTGCTTTTGAGTATATATAGAATGGATTCTGGAGTTTGTGTTCACTGTGTGCTGTCCAGGCGTTCCCTGGAGGAAAAGGACAGACAGTCTGGAGTGAGTGTACTGTTTCCAGACTGCAGGATAGAGCCTAGAGAAGAGAGAACAAGAGAAGCACTTCCTACAGTATAACAGGAGTGAGCTTATTGTGTCACATCCCTTGCTTGCAGCAGAGACATCAAAGTTGTAAAATAACAAAATACTACTACTACTACTAATAACTATTTATTTTTAATAGTAGCTGAGCTGTCTTCAAAATAGTTTAGTTCCCTTTCAGTCGTTCACTCCCGACGTCACGTCGGATGACCGGCGAATTGGGATCTCGCTTAGAGAGACCAATCTACTTCGAGTGTAAACTAAACGAGCCAATGCACATTGGCATGCGATTATTGCATCCAGCTGCTGCTGATCACAGCATGAGTATAAGTAGGCAGCAGATGCAGCGCATATTCAGCTTTTCGCTTTGGAGCTGAACGGTTTTATCGTTCTGCTCCTGACCTTCTACGTAGAGAAGTAAAAACTACAGTCAAGCACGCTCTTCGTGGGCTCTCGCCCCTCCGGGGATGCCCCAGCCCGCCGGCACTTCGAAACCAGCGGGGCTCTCAAAAGAGCAGGCTGGACCCTCCTGGTGGATACCACCTGTTTCTTCCGAGGCTCCCCCCGACGATCGGATGTCGGTTGCAGCATCGGAGGGTGAGCCAGACTTTTCTGGGGATGAAGATCCGTCAGCGTTGCCGCCCTCTGGGCGGTCAGTGGTGCCGGAGACGGACCCGGAAATGATGGCTATGCTTTCCCGGGCCGCCGAGAGTGTCGGGCTCGAGTGGAATCTTCCAC